AGTAGACAGCGGTTACCGGTGACCGCTTGGGGTTAGCAGTTCCTTCTCCTCTTCCTTTAAGATAAAGTAAAATTTTCAAGTAAATTTAGGTAAACTATCACAATAACAATGTTCAAAGATATTGTACATAATAACAGCGTCTATGTCATAGTCTAGCATTGACATACAAAATTCATATGTTTACGAAGGTCAATGCAAAAAGGAATTAAAATCAATATGAACAGAACCGGTCATTAAGTTAAAGCTACAGACAATGCAATTTAATATTGAGGATGGTGTTATGCTATAGTGATCCGTAAATTCTTATTGTTTAAAGTTTATTATTTAACTAATTTCTGGTAGATAATATTGCGTAAGACAATGAAGATTCTACATTACAATAATATAAGGTTTAATCCAATGCAGATTTCTTGAGAAAAAATATTCATAGTTACTTTTAGGGTACGGCCACATAATATGGCGAATGCTCCGCGAATGTCATGCTCGCGAGCCGCCCGCGTGCATTTAAACATAACATAATATCGCGTGATGTTATGCCCGAAGGGGTAGGCAGAGGTGCACATAATACCACTGTATACATTATACCACCTACAATGTAACACCCACTTTTCACTATTTATGTTAAGAGTCCCATGTAATAGGGGGTGAGCCTATTGCCATATACCGGGCACAACTCCAGACTCCGTGCTACTACTGAGAATATATAACAAAACCCAGTAATACTTTGCCCGACCCGGGAATCGAACCCGAGGCCCCTTGCCCGGCAGCGAGTGGTCGCAAATGCGACTGCCCCGGCAAGTGATCTCGGGTTCGATTCCCGGGTCAGGCAAAGTACAAAGGGATTTTTAAAAAAAAATCTCAATAGTAGCACGGAGTCTCGAATAGTGTACGGTATATGGCAATAGGCTCACTCACTATTACATACATTACATGAGACTTGGAACATAAATAGTGACAAGTGGGTATTACATCGTACCTTAACGTGCACATCTGCCCACCCCTTCAGGTATAAAAGGCGTCGTATAATATTTGTGGTATCCTAACCCGATAGACCACTCAACTAACGAGGTAGTCTATGCTGCAATATAAAGTTGTAGCTCTAGTCTAGCATAACATCTTCCTTATCGATTGCAAGTTGCACACAATTCGTTCGTTCTATCGATTTTATTGCTCGTACAGTAATTGACTTAGTTATACAAACAAACTTAGTTAACTTTGTCTTTAAGATATTATGAGCGTTTTAAGTGAATTTAGGTATTGACCGGTGAGGTCAGTAATTACCCTTAACCGTAAATACGGCTAAGGGCCGATTTTTCAATCATCAGTAATTTTTTAATCTATGTATATAAAAGAAAGAAGGGTTTATTCCAACACTTATAAATCGAGATCGGCTAGACCAAATCTCATGGTTTTTGGTTCATTGGATTTGTCCCCGCCCAGATTGGCAGAATACATTTTAAAAATAATGAAAACTCGACAAGAACATAATTATAAAAGATGAATAATTTCCCTTAATGTTACTAGCTTCTAAAGTCAAAGTCAAAGCATTTATTTCAATTAAACCATAGTTTGGTAGTTTTGGTACTTTTGAAACGTCAACAAATACAAAATAAATAATAGTCTGTCAGTCAGTCCGTCAGTGAAATTAGGTGAAGCTAGGTGCTCATTCCAAAATGTAGATTTGAATGGAGAAGAACGAGCAAGAAACTCCATTCGTTACTCTTTTTAAAAGAAAGTATGTTTCTGAATTAAAAAGTAGATATGTTTATGAAATACTTCTGCCCATGGTTTCGCTCGCTCTTTTAAAGTATTGAGGGCAGGTTTACACAAGATAAAAAAATTTGGTGACCGATGTTTTGTTGGTCACATAATAAAATCGACAGTTGACAGTTTTTAATAAGGAAGAATTGTCAAATATTCAAACTTATTCCTCAGTTAAAATGTATCTGGCGTTGGGAAAATCGGTCATAAATAGTATTTAACTCGTAAAACAAGATAAAGTCGTAATTGTATTGTAACTTACGTGAGACATACTAAATAAATCATTATGTTTTCGGCTTACTCACGTAATAATTTGACGAGGAACTCGACTAGTTTCAAGCCATGCTAGAGGCTCATATTCATGAGCAGCATTTCGCGACCCGCAACGCTGCGACTGTCGCGCTGCTACTGTAGCAGCGCGACAGTCGCCGCGTAATAAAATAATAAAGTCGTAATCCTTTAGAAATATGACTTTTTGAAGCATAAATAGCAATGATAATACCTGTCATAGTTTGTAAGGTTTTCTTATTCTTATTGTTTGTTTTATTTATGGACTTTTCTGTTTTGTTTTATTATTATTTTTCTTTTTATAATTATTTGAAATGTATAATGCCTTGGTTTTGACTGTAATGTTATACGATTAAATTGAAATAAATGGATAATAAAAACATAACATCAAGCCTTTTATCCCCGAAGGGTTAACAGGGATATTTGTTTTAATCTACTATTACGATTTTTGATTTTAACGTCTTTATTTTTATTCCCATATCCCAAGATGAGCAAAATGCAACGTCATGTAGCACTTTGATTTTGTAATATGTTTTCTATAATTGTGCAATTTATTTGACCTTGCGTGTTACTATGGCTTCTCCGGGTCAAAACAGGAGTAAGAACGGGGCGGTTTTAGTCAGTAAGACTCTGACACTCCCTCTCGCCTCATCCGAGGCGTAAGAAGCCATGAAATCACAGCTTTTTATCCCCGAAGGTTAGGTAGAGGTGTACATTACGGCACTTAATGCCACTGTACAATGTAACACCAACTTTTCACTATATATGTGAGTGTGTATGAGAGTATGAGTCCCATGTAATAGGGAGTGAGCCTATTGCCATATACCGGGCACAATTTCAGACCCCATGCTACCACTGAGATTTTTTTTAAAACCTAGTTTAGTTTGCCCGACCCACAAATCGAACCCGAGACCCCTTGCCCGGCAGTCGCACTTGCGACCACTCGGCCAACGAAGCAGTCATAACGCAACGAGCGTAAGAAGCTATTTGATGATTTGACATCTTCAAACAAAAATGCCTCATGATGTACCACCACAACTGATAAAAACCTTCATGGTAACTGGTCCACTCCTAAACTCCTAATCACGTCGCGGAGAACCTAACGGGTAACCGGGGCTCCGGCTCGACGTGCAGGAGAAGGAACGGGGTGGTTTTTAGTCAGTAAGAGTCTGACACTCCCTCCCGCCTCACCCAGGCGGGAGCAGTCATTCGATGATTTTCCCCCCTTAAAAAAAAAACTCCTAATCACATAAAAGAACAAAAGCAGTATGACACATACTTAAAACAAAAACATTATACTTTTAGTTAAAACATAAACTCATTAATTCAAACTTAATTCCTTCATATAACAGAACTTTGTCACTAATATTATACAATGCAAATACAACCTTTTGTATCAAGATTTAAAGAGTACTTTCCATTGTAATGATGTGGCATAGGATAGCACTTGACTTGGAGAGTCTTGACTCCCGTTGTTGTTACAGAGAATGTGGGGAACTGACATCAAGGTGCTTCAATCTGTTTTATTTTTTGAACTTTATTGTTCTGTGATAAAGTTCTGTTTCTATTGACAGTCGCGGGTAGGTTGATGTGCTGTTGTCAACACATCTCACTCGTAAGGGTCCTTCGAAAACAATTGATGTTCAACTGTTAAAACATTTTGTATTTTTTTTTTGTTTTAATGGCTTTTTCTGCGGTAGCTTGTCACTGCTTTTGTTTTTTTTGTATGTTGATGGAGAGACACCTTAACGACAATGTCTTTTTTACTGAATCTAAAGGAAAACGGCGTATAGCTTCTGCCAGCGGCTTAGCCCGCGTACCCAGGGGTAAAAAGTAGGTTATATATTCCTTCAGACCATAATCTATCACTGTTCCGAATTTCATCCCGGTCCTTATAGTCGTTTTGATAGCTTGAGTAAATGAACAAATATACACATAAACACACAAACTTAGGTACATATTTTCGCTTTAATAATATCGGTTCAAGTTAATCGACAGACAGATACAAACTTTTTAATCACCTTTTGCTTTCGGTGTCTATTTAGTAACACCCCTAGTATTTGTTTTTTTTAATATGTTCAATGTAAAGAATTAACACTTCTACTTTATTATTCACATATGTATAAATAGATTGTTAATAAATGTTTCGTATATTTTCAGATACCAAGTAGAGTGGAAATTATAGTACATAACATTTTTTACTTGCTTTATTATTCACGTATATTATAACGCTTGACAAAGCTCAGATAAAAATCAGATACTAATAATCATATCAAAATTAAAGCTTCTTCCTTATTATCCTCTCAAAGTATCGTAAATTTAAAATATCTCAATTTACAAATAAAATACTTACCAAAGATACAACAAAAATAAATCTATTCAACCAAATACAGACCTGATACTTTCAAGTAATTCTTTCTTTTATCGATCAATTGCTTTCAAGTCTTTGTTGCCACGGCTTTTGCCTGGCAAGCAATTCATCGGATGAAAACGCAGACATTATCTTGGTAGAACAGTGTTTTAGATGAAATAAGGGAAAAAGAGCCCTATGTTTTATTAATAGAAACTAGATTTACTTCGAATTCGAAATATATATTTTTTTAAATAAGATTTGTCTCAGGATGCAACTTATATAACTCATAATAGGGAACTATAACTTCAATATGAATATGAATTTTAAGTTTAGGATAAGCATTGAGGTTTAAAAATGTTAAGGCCGACAACGCACCTATGCCTCCTCCGGTGTTGCGGGTGTCCATGGGCGGCGCTGATCGCTTACCATCAGGTGATCCATCTCCTCGTTCGCCTCCAATTCCATAAAAAAACTTAGAAAATATTTTCTGAATTCAACAACTAGGTAGTTCCAGAGGTTACCTATTGTCTATAGCATAGTCACATAACTAGAACAAATTGACAATAATAATAATCAATACCGACTTTCTAATTTACAGGTTAAGTGCGATTTTCAATTGATAACGTTCAATTATAATATTAGTGTTGAAAAATAAATTAGAAATAAAAATTGTTGTCGTTGAAATAAACAACGAAGAAGGCAATAATCGTTAAGTTTTAAAAATTAAATAATAATAAATACGACCTAATTAGAATAAAAAATCGAGTAGTGATAAAAGTAAATCGAAAGCAATTAATTAGTCAATTTAAAAATAATAATAAAAGTCTGTGATTGAGTTCTATTAACCCCAAAGTAAAGTGTAAGTTCTAAAGTATTGGGGACTCCTAAAGTGGTGCGGTTAAAGTGGTGTATAATTGTAAAGTGTAAAGTTGAAAGTCGGACACTTAAAGAAGTTTTACTAAAGAGTGGCTTTTGAAAAGAAGAGGCAGTTACTCAACTTCAAGATGGCGTTCGCAGCAGCTCGTATGATTCTGAAGGACAAACGGCGAAAGGCTTCAAAGGAAGACTTCAGGGATCCAAGAAATAGAAGCAAGGTATTTAATTACTTTACTTTTTATAAAACAATTACGATTTGAATAATGTTCTAAAAGTATGTTTTACGAAATTGATGATTTGTCTTTTTGTAAAGTCAGTTAGTAAAAGTATGAGTAAATTCTAAAGTGACTTTGCTTATACTAAAGTTGGCACAGTAAGAATTTAGATTAAAATTGATACGTAATAAAATATATTTCTCAAAATGATGAATAGGTGGAGTACATTAATGAAGTTTACCTTAAATACACAGGTTACTAATTTTAATTAAATATTTTGCTTACACAAAATTTGTTACACGTAAAAGTCATTTCCTAAATTGTAATTTCCAAAGTGACGTCATGTCACCGAAAATTACCGCAGCAAAATTTACGGAGTAGAATTAAAATTACGTAATTAACATTTACCTAGGTGTGTTACTGTCAGTTAATTTACGACCTAATTAGTTGGAAGCAGGTGTGTTTCCCAGTTTAACCAATCAGGTGACAGGGAAAATTAATTGCCTAGAATACTGGTAAACTTTGAACTAGAGTATGCAGTTCTAGATTTACGAGAATTGCGGTTGTAATCAGTGCATTTGTGTTTATTAAATGGAAACTTCAGTTCATATTTGTTTTGGAGTTTAGAGATGTCGCGTTAGTTGTCAATTTCACTGCCAAGCAAGGAGCTATGGGTTTGATGCGTGGACTATGGAAAGGGTTTATTCATTTTTTAGAAAATTTCTCAGTAATACCACTGAGTGAGGAATTGTAAACGGTATAAAACCATAGCTCACCCATAATCACATGTTTCTAACTTTAAGATAAAGGTATTTAAGTCAAAAGTTTCGTAATATTTTGTTCCATTTTGTTTGACACGAGGATCAAACACGTATGTAACTAATTTTATGGGACAAGCCGGGAAACGAGCAGACGGATCACGTGACGGCAAGATATCGGCGTCGCCCATGGACACCTGGACCGCCAGGGCCTTGTGGGGATTAGGAATGTGAGGATTATTGGGGATTCAGGGAGTGGAGAAGGGGTGTGGGGTAATTGGACCTCTGCTTTCATTGTGTGAGTCGGGTTGTTTCACGTCGGTTTTCTGTGAGGACTCCGGTCAAGCCTGCCCATTCGTGGCACACTTCATCAACAGCCTATGAGTGCCCACTGTTAAGCAAAGCCTCTTCTCACACGGAGGTTTGAGCATTAATCACCACCACCACACTTGTTCAATGCGAGTTGGCGATTAAAAACTTATATTTAGAAATTATAAGCCCAGGTATCCTCACGATGTTTTCCTTCATCGTTTGTCAGTAGCGTGTACATAATTTTAGAAAGTACATAGAACTCGGAAAAAGTCACATTGGTACTTGCCGTTAGTAGGTTTCGAACACGCATCCTCATGCTGATGAGGATATGATAAATATATGTAGGAGTTACGTTTGCTATCACAAGACCAATAAAGTATTACGTTGTTTGTGAAATAATTCATTAATGATGTTTACTTGGTACCTAATTGTATAAACGACGGGCTTATAATAGAGGTACAATAGCTAATGTTTGTAGGTACATTTGGTTCTACAACAAAACTGAAAACAATAGTAATGGTCGACTTCTCATTGTTTAAAACTTTTAACAAAATACTATTCGTAATGTTCATTCTATGATTTTAACCTTGATAACCATTTAAAATAATTTAACTACTGTTTGTTTTATTAAGTCGAAAAAGTAACCCATTTTTGAGTAAATTTATCTACAGACTGGACTAAACGGTTAGCGCAGTGGCTGGACAACGGGCTGTCGTGCAACGTGTAGTGGGTTCGTACGTAGCAATCTTTTTGTGTGATCCATAAATTGTTATTTCGGGTCTGGGTGTCATGTGTATGTGAACTTATATGTTTGTCAACGCACCTACGACACAGGAGGAAAATTCAATAGGGGGACAACCTTAAAAAAAAAACGATACATATTTTTTAGTAAAATGACCTGGTTTCACACATTTTTTTAAGGGTGGATAATTACCTGGGTGAGGCGGGAAGAAGTGTCAGACTCTTACTGACTAAAACTCACCCCGTTCCTTCTCCTGCGCTTCGAGCCAGAGCCCCGATCGAACACACATAGTCCGATATTTCCAACAGCTATTTTTATTTTAAAATGTCAACTAGTGACAAGTTACAATTATATGCCATTATGATATGATATGAGAAGAAAAATAATAGTGGAGCAACGTCTAAAAAAAAGTAAAGGAGAAACAAAATTTTCAGAAAAAGACCTGGTTTCAAACGTAGTCCGATATTTCCAAAAGCTATTACTTATTTTAAAACATCGACTAGTGACAATTTACATTTGCATATCGTTGATAAGGAAATTAAACGTGTGCTGATATTACATCTCCAACCGTTTGACTATGGCACACCCTTCTGATGGAAAGGAGGTCTATAGGCTAGCAGAGGACCCTCACGAGATCTATAGGCCATCATGATGCGGTATCATTAAATCAAAAAACTGAATGTTAGAGTATAAACTGTATAATTTCAGATCGGTTCATTAGTACGGTTCGTTCGGAAATTGCTCATTAAGCCGCGTCGAACTTCATGGATAACTGGGTCGCAATCACACCGTTTTGTAACGATTCAAATAGTGGAAGAGCTGCAAACTTTTGTTACGATTTTTTAATTGTCTCTATTCATAAATTGAGGGTTGCAAACGTTAATCAAATCGATAATGGTTGGGTCTTTTTGTTTTATTTTGACTCAATATTACTTATTCACTTTCAAGTGAGTGATAATGAGTCACAGTTAACTTTCAAGTTAAGAAGTGTATTTTTTTTTAATTGTATACAATTCAAGGTTGCGGCATAACCTTTTACAATAATTAAAACTATGAATACTGAAATATGACTAATTGACACCCAAATACTGAAAGGCTACTCAATTATAAGTTGTACTCAAATATCGTGCCATCTCTGTCATTTTACAAATGATTTGTAGAGATAGAACTATACTTAAGCGTGTCTTAAATTTGACACTTAAACACGCTTAGTTAACACGGTTTTGACTGCACGGTTGGCGCGGCTACCGTGTAACGTGTCGCGGGTTCATATTCCCGCACGGAACAACTCTTTGTGTGATCCTCAAATTGTTGTTTCGAGTCTGGGTGTCATGTGTATGTGAACTTGTATGTTTGTAAACGCACCCACGACACAGGAAAAAATCCTAAGGGCAAGATTATTTAAAAAATGAAAAGAAAAATATCCAGGCTGCTGCATTTTCGCAATGGTTCTAGATATTTACATTAAACATAGAATAATATTCTATTTTACACTACCAAAGTCCAATTTATCTCAATAGTAGAACTGAACGTTACAGTACGGTGTGACAGTTAGCTTAGCACCGATAACTCGGTTGTTCCCAATCTCAGTTCTAAATAGGAAAGCATTATAAACTTTAATGAGTTTCCACCTTTAATGGTTTTCCCTTGTTACACAAACTGAGCCATTTGATAGACTTTACAGTGGTCTTGGGTTGGGAATAATTTATTTGGGACCTTGTATTAGGACATAGAGATTGTTGAGACCTAACTGTCAAACACCGCGAGGACACCGGTGACTGCAACCTATTGTTATTTAATTGTGTCTATAATGACGGTACTCAAAGGGTTAAAGAGGTTATTCACGACTATCTGACGAATATTTTTTTAGTAAATTACATTACAGAATCCGAAACTATCTGTACAGATATATAAAATTGAAGTGTCTGTTTTAAATATTAAAATAACCGCTTTTTATTACACGCATATCAATATGTATACGATACGAACCTACTAAAATAACATTTTTGTCTGTCTTTTTACTTATACTGGCTTTGGAATCTGGAATAGCTGGACCAATTTTGCAAGAGTTTTATTGGGAGGTAGCTGACGGACTAAGCAGTGACATACTTTTGTTTTGGAAAATTGAAAAAAAAAATTTCTAAAATTCACATTCTATGCGGACAAAGTCGCGGGCAACAGCTAGTGTCTAATTAGATTCCTAGAATGAATTGGTGAAATCTGAGCATCACTAATGACATTATATAACTACCTCTATAGTTCCACATCTCCGTGTAGCCAATCAGTAGATAAAGATTATTGATATATATTCAAATAATAGTTTAATCAAACGATTTACTAAAATCTCCAAAGACACAAAATCTCAAGTCTCTCAATACCTATTGAATCTTCTTTCAACGAAAATGAATTCATTTTGAAAATCTGAACTGCAGCCCACGGGGAATCAAAAAGTCGACCGGATGAATCGCAACTGAACCGGATGAACGGCTGTATTACCGGACCGGCGCTCTGGATGGGCCGTATCGATTGCGGCTAGCCGGGAAAGATTGGACGCAGCAGTTTGAGTACTTTAAAAACTTTAGCGTAGTTCGGTAGGTACTGTTTCTATCTAGTAGATTTGGTACTCTCTGAGTTTCTTTTTGAAGTAAACCATCTGTTTTACGCTGAAAAGCATTGATCTAGTGGTTGTTGAGTACCCCAATCTAATGGTGACTCCCTAATCTAAAATAGATAGAAGTTGTATTCAAATTGTCTTTTTTTATATTTCAGCGTGTGTCTGCATTTTCTTCTTTGCGAAATTATTGTTTGAGTAACTAACTACTGATTAATTCGTTTTCTTTTCCGAAGAATAATAACTTAATGATTTAAAAGAAAATTACATTCTTTTCATCTCTGCATTAGGTCCTACTTTTATCTCTGTACTGAACTGATGTAGTCTGCCTGCACAATTGCACGCGATACGTGTTCGATTTCCACTCAGAGAAACTGTCTGAGCCACAGATTATTGTTTTGAGTCTGGGTGTGATGTTTATGTCAACTTGTATGTTTGTAAACGCACCCACAACACAGGAGAAAAACCCAGCGTCGGGTAACGTTCTGAAAAAAAAAACAATAAGAAACAAGGTTAAGTGTGGGAGAGCCATGCTTCGACACGAATGGGCAAGCTCGACCGGAGTGATACCACGGGAACA